TAGCATTTCCCTCATCATAACAATGGAAACAAATTCGTCCAATTTACTCATTCCAGATAAATAATTTTACGTAAAAATATTATCCAATGAATTATTATTATTATTTTATTTTTTATTACTTCGAAGAAAAACGCGTCCGTTCACCACGATGCTCAAAAACTATTAAAAAACTTTCATTCCACCCCATTGTACATTCATTCATCCATTGTTCATTCCACCCCATTGTATTTAGGACTAGAGAGTATTTATGATTTTTAACTTAAAATAATAAAAGAAATGCCTTTTAAACTTATCAAATGACGCTTAACCCTAATTTGATGTTACCCAGACAGTAGCTAACGGACGGGTAATCGGGTGCCCAGGTACACCGTCAATAACTTTAGTGAGTAAGTAAGTAGTTTCCTAATTAATTCATTTAATTTAATTATCGTTTTCATTTTAAGACATTTGGCATTGCCTTGATATAACCGTAATCATTTCTACATTTAAGTTGTACATTCTAAGTAAATTAAGTTATGGTTTCTCAAGATAGACAATGATGAAAACAACAACAAGTGCGTGCTAAAATACGAATATCATAACCTTGTCATATATACAACACATAAATAAATGAGATGTGAACACTTTAAACAACTTTCGCCGGCTACTTAGCAAATAATAAGCCAACGCGAGTGTCAAAAACTTTGGCAACAGCATTTGACAATATTTTTATTAAAAATTACCTGGAAATGGAACTTGAAACAGGGATATTCATGACTAATATTAGCGATCACTTTCCGATATTTATAAGAGTAAGAAATTTAAAATCCATGTCTGATTGTGAACCAAAAGTTATAAATTTGAAAAAACGCTATCTTAAAACAAGTAATACTAATGAAATCATTAAATGCAAATCTAATAGTAAGAAAACGTGGTCTATTATTAATGAGATAATGAGATGGAAAAAAATAAATTCAACTTTTTTACCAAAAAGAATTAATATTAACAATACAGACATATACTGTAAAAAACAAATATCCAAAGAATTTAACAAATATTTTATAAATATTGGTCCAAATCTAGCTAATAAAATAAGTCCAACATCTGATTCATTTAAAAACTACTTAAAACCCACAAATAATGCTATCATGTACGATAAGGAATTCAACTATAAAAAATTTGAAGAAGCCTTTTCCTCTTTAAAAAAAATGAAAGTACCAGGGTTTGATGAAATAACTAGTGATTTAGTTATTTTTAATAAAACTAGTCTAAACAGACCTCTGATCCATATACTTAAGTTCTCAATAACATCTGAGATTTTCCCTAATGTCCTTAAATTAGCAAAAGTATAGACCTATATCAATACTTTCTGTATTTTCAAAACTCTTCGAACGTGTAATTTATAATAGAATCTATAATCACTTCACTAAAAATAAATTATTTTACCCAAACCAGTTTGGATTTCAAAAAAACCTTTCAACAGAGCATGCAATCATTGATTTAGTTAATCAAATAACTGATGGCTTTAAACAAAACAAATTTACTTTAGGAGTTTTTATCGACTTATCAAAAGCTTTTGATACAGTTAACCACTCCATCCTATTAGATAAACTAAAGCACTATGGTATAATTAATAAAACTTAAAATTGGATTAAAAGTTATCTTACCAATAGAAAACAATGTGTGTAATATACAATATGAAGTATTAAATGTTTTATGTGGAGTCCCCCAAGGACTATCCTTGGTCCACTCCAGTTTTTAATTTATATAAATGATTTTTGCATCTTTATGCACCTTTAAAACTGAATTCAGTCATGTTTGCTGATTATACAAATCTATTTCTTACTAACAGTGATATCAAGAAATTATATGCAGATATGAATATTGAACTAAATAAAGTAAATAATTGGTTTAGGGCTAACAAACTTTCACTTAACACAGAAAAACCAAACTATATATTATTTTACAAAAAAAAACACAAGAAGAAAACCTTCTTCTTAAGTTGCCTGACCTTATATTAAATGATAATTTAATCAAAAAACAAACCAGTATTAGATTCTTAGGAATTCTTGTTGATGAGAAGTTATCCTGGCTTCCTCAAATAAGATATATTAAAGATATATTAAATCTAAAACCATTAATATAATTGGTATGATGTATCGAGTTTGCTCACATATCAATAAACTAAGTCTTAAACTAATTTACTTTAGACTAATTCATTGCATCATCAGCTATGCAAACATATCATGGGCAAGTACGCAACCATCAAAACTTAAAAAAATTTATAGTCTACAAAAACATGCGTGCAGAATCATTTACTATAAAAATATATAAAGCGTGAACATGCTAAACCTATAATGAAAGATATGATAATGATGGATGTTTTTGAAATAAATATCTATCAGCATTTAATTTTTATGTATCAATTCAATAATAATATCTCTCCTGCAAACTTTAATAACATTTGAAATAAACATAAATGAAAACTATTATCTAAGAGCAAATATAAGTAACACATATAAACTGCTTCAAAACTTTTATAAATATACTGAATATAGCATTGCATATCGAGGACCAAATATATGGAATAGTTATCAAAAAGGATTTAAATGGCAAAGTCATTTATTTTATTTTACAAAGTTTATTTAAATTTCTAATAAAAAAATAAATTTTTAAAACTTGAGAATCTTTTGTGCTTAATAGAATCATCAAGGAATTTTATTTATTTTCTAATTTTTTTTATATTTTATTTTCACTTGATTTACTGATCAGTGTAAGAGTTTTATGTCCATTAGGGTTTTTAATTTAATATCTATATTTTATGGAAAGTGTATATGGGCTCTATGAAAAAATTGCGATGACGTATTGTTGTCTTCATCTTCTTTGAGCCCCTGTCTGTTTAACTCTTTATTTTATAAAGATCATTGTAAAAAGAAAAGGTTATATTTTATACTGTATATACAAAAACGGTGCTTGTTGACAAGATTTAAAGCTTTTTTTGTTCAACGGACATATTTTTTCTTTCTTGTATATATATTTGTTTGATTATTTATTGTTAAACAGCAAAATAAATCTAAAAAAAAATAAATCTAAAAAAAAATTAAAAAAAAAAAAAAAAAAGTGTGTGTGTGTGTGCGGTGGGGGACCTTAAGTCCTAATCTAATATACGGCGAGGTGGGGGTGGGAAGAAGGTTGTTAATAAAAGGAAGGGGGGTAAACATTTTTTTTTTAACTTCTTATCTCGATAAGTTCTTGAAAAATTCCAATCTGATGCCATGTTACAATATAAGTTTTTTTTATAAAAAATTTCAATTTATAAATCCTAAGTAATATTTTTTACAAAACACGCATATAACTATTTAATTCTAGCGTGGTCTGCGGTCAAATGCGCGTTTTCTAACAGCCGTTTTATCCTAATTTCAAAAGGATTTAATATGCTGATATAAGTTTTATACTTTAAGGAATGTGTGAAGTGAGGAGTGAGGAATTAACTAAAAGCTCATTTTCCGACAAATCGAGATTTACTAGGTCGACGATTTTTAAAGCCTGTTTACGCTGAAAGTTTTTATTTTTATTGATGACTGAAATAATTATTTTCTAGTTTTTAAATCCGATTTTCACTAAATTTATTTCAATTATGAGGTATTAGTTTTTTGTTGACAACAAGTAAAAATTAATAAAGGATGGGGGAAGGAGGGGAGTCTTAATAAGTATAGAGTGGAAAAGTTTTCCAAATATTAATAAACGCCCTCACCCTCCACTCTTCTTCCATCCGCTTGTACTAAGGACTCAATAGTAATAGTATAACAATTTAACTTAGTATGTGAACAATGATCTAAAAGATCTTGTTGCAAAAAGTTTTAAAAGTTACGATTTCTTTATCGAATTTTGTTTGAAATAAAAAAAAAAAAATTGAAAAAATATTTTTTTAAATGCGCGTCAAATGTTTATTCAAAACAAATAAAATGTTGTAAGAAAACTTCGATTATCAAAGGTAAAAGTATAACTTTTATAAAAAATATTGTATAAGTATGTATCCCCTCCCCCACCAGAATCTGAAAGTCCTAAAATATCTTAGAAATGGAGGACCTTTTTTTCTTTTTTTCAGGAGACGTAAGTGTGATACAAAATACAAAAATATTTCAACATCCTCCCCTCCCCCAGCTGAACCCCTCCCACCCTATCTCCCCTCCTTCTCCCACCCAAAAAAATTTCTGGAGTTCAAAGAGTTCGTTACATAACAGCAATTTATTGTGTATAATTTCTTGTACCAAATATCATTTCTAAAAATCTTAGAAAAAAATCCACATACTAAGTTATTTAGTTTGAACAAAACCGAGAAGGATAAGCAAACAACTTAATCAGGAAGGGAAATTGATATTCTTTTGCAAAAAAAAAAAAAATAATAAATTATACTAGTATTGTTAATAAACGTATAGTATGCAACAAATTTGCCATGACTTCTAGTAGATCTGCAAGTATTTTCCAGAAAATTCTAGTAAAATACTTCTGAATATTTTCTATGCTACACTTATATAACCTATAGATTCATTGTAAAAGCATGCTCAAGTTTTTTTTATTGCAGGTGAATTAAGTCAAATTATAAAATTATAGTTATAGAAGCGCGTATTTTAGTAAACAAGGTAGGGGGGGGGGGGGGAAAGAGTGTATATTGTTTTTTTCCTAACCTCTTTTTATTCCTTTCTATCCTAAATATTTTTACAAAAAAAAAATATTCTAACTAAAAAGCGCATAACAAATGAAATTTTCAAAATGATAAATGGATAATTAACTTTTGTTTTTAATTTTTTAATTAAATAATTTAAGATAATTGGAGGTACGCTTCAAAAATTTTGAAATCTAAATTTTTTGAGTTGAAAACTTTATGGTTGATTTGCAATAATAGTAATCATTCCTAATATGAGGGAGAAGACGCTCAAATTGATCCTAAAATCAACCAATAGCATTTAACTGGGTGGCTTATTATACGCACCATTAACTTATCAGCACTTTAATGCTTCCCGAAGCAATATTAATCGATAAGAAGTAGAACGTGATATATTTATTACAAAGTGTTTCAAATACTGTAAGACCCCTAAAAGCGTTTATAAAAATGTTTAAAGTCGTTTGGATGTGCGTTTTTGCATCACTTGCAAGCGCCTTTCGTTTACCTTTTACAAACATCAATGTCATGGAAAGTTTGCCCGGAATAATGCCTTTTAATTGGAACAAAATTTCACCGTGGTATAGTATGCGGACGCCAAGCACCAATTACCATAGTGAAGGTTATACATTTGGAGAACCAACTTTTGAGCAGCCAAATTTTGACATCTCAGAAGATGCTTTTCAAATGCCAGATTACAGTTTTAGCTGGAATATGCCTAACTTTCCACAGTTTGATGCCAAAGACAAAAATACGAAGACAAAAAATAAAACTTATGAAAAAGGTTTGTATAAATATTCTTATCATTTAAAAAAAAAAAAAAAAATTATATATATATATATATATATTATATATATTATATATATATATATATATATATATATATATATATATATATATATATATATATATATATATATATATATATATATATATATATATATATATATATATATATAATATATATATATATATATATATACATATATATAGATGGGTATAAAATTACGGAAATTAAAAAGTTTGGACCCGGATGGACATCATACATTTCTGAAGCAGTAAAGGAAATAAAAACGAATAAAACTGGTAACGAAACGAGCAAATTTAAATCTTTTAACTTCGGCGGAGACCTGATTGATCTGTTTGGAGCTAAAGCTAAGAAATTTTTCGAACAGGTTATGTCGTTATTTTTTTTAAAAAAACTAATAATTTTTACTAAAATGTATATTTGTTAAACTTTCGTTATATTGTTATATATAAAAATTTTTTTTGTATATAGCGAAAATGCAAGAAATGTCCTCCAAATAAATTTTGCGACCCACTGTCTGGAAAATGCAAAAAACAATTAAAAGCTGGTAGTGATTGCGCTTTTGCTGAACAATGTAAATCACCACTTTTATGCGTTTGGGGAAAATGCAATTTGGCTACGCAGGGTGACGCCGGTAAATTTATGAATTTTTTTTTGCTAAAATAGAAGCACGCAATGACTCATTTTAAAGTCTTTTTTGAAATATTTTCTTACTTAAATTAAAAAACTAATCTCTAGGTACATTTTGCAACCGCTCTGAGTACTGCAGCGGTGACTCAAGATGCGTTCCATACACAGATAACAACAAAGTGTGTGTACCAGCTTTAGGAGAAGGCTCTATATGCGGGGAAAAATACGAAGGTTTTGGTTTCTTTCTTGCGTCTTCCACTAAAAAACTAGAATCAGATGAAAATCCATGCAAAAGAGGTTTAAAATGTGCTGATGTCGGGTGAGTATCATTGTAATTCATAGATTTACAGTTTTACATACTGTTTAATATTTTGCAGTTATTTAAATTTTTTACTTTATTATACTATTGAAACGTATATAAACCTTCAGGGATCCAGAAAATAAACGATGTGTTCAGATGAGTTTCAAGGAATCTGCTGATGAAAGTGACAAATCAGCAAAGCAAATTCAAGCAGAACAAGAAAACCCCCTAGTTATTAAGAAAGTGAACGAGAAAAAAAATAAGGATAAGGAAGGATCTGGTGACGAAAGTGACGACACCATAAAGGACTCTAAAAAAGAAGTTAAAAAGTTAAAGTCTTTTCCAGATAAAAGTGATCAAGAACCTAACGAACCAAACAGCAAAAATCCAGAAAACTCAATAAAAGATACGAGCAACGATACCTCAGATCCAATAAAGCAAGCTAACAAAGGTAAAGAGAAAAAAAGAAAAAGAAAAAATTCCCAAAAACTTTCACCAAGCGTATTAAGAAAATAACTTACTTATTTCATGAATCTCGTGATTTAGTAAAGAAAGATATATTTATGATTTAAATTATCTTCGTTATTTTCAATGATATTATCGGTTTCGTAACATAATATACAACGAGAGGGAAAATACATTGAACGAATGGAAATGCAAAGGGGAGCAAAAACATTTAATTTAAAATAAGAAAAACAATTTTGGAAGAACAACATTTGATAATTAGATTTAAAAAATAACACAATACTTTTATTACCTTACTTATTCTCTTAAATAGTTACATAAAATTTATATTCAGAATTCTAAAGTTCAAAATATGCGAACAGACAAAAAAGACGATCGTTTAATAATCTTTTTGTTTTTTTCCACTTGGCCTAAAAAAAAAAATCAATTCATTTTCTATTTAAAAAACATAAATAATTAACTTTAAATTTAAAAAAAAAATCAATTATATATATATATATATATATATATATATATATATATATATATATATATATATATATATATATATATATATATATATATATATATATATGTAGTATGTATATATATATATATATATATATATATGTAGTATGTATATATATATATATATATATATATATGTAGTATATATATATATATATATATATATATATATATATATATATATATATATATGTAGTATATATATATATATATATATATATATATGTAGTATATATATATATATATATATATATATATATATATATATATATATATATATATATATATAGTATATATATATATATATATATATATTATATATATATATAGTATATATATATATATATAGTATATATATACATATAGTATATATATATAGTATATACATATATATATATATATATATATATATATATATATATATATATATATATATATATATATATATATATATATATATATAGTATATATATATAGTATATATATATATATATATATATATATATATATATATATATATATATATATATATATATATATATATACAGTATATATATTGTATATATAGTATATATATATATAATAAGTGTACATATATATATATATATATATATATATATATATATATATATATATATATATATATATATATATATATATATATATATATATATATATATATATATATACATATATATATATATATATATATATATATATATATATATATATATATATATATATATATATATATATATATATATATTATATATTATATATATTATATATATATAAGTATATATTTGTTTAATCAGAAATCAATAACATTTATAACAATTTTAGTCCATGAAGAATAAAATGTTTGTAATATATTGATGAAGAGGTGCAGCACCAGGCACCTCCATGCTGACAAATATTGAACACACGTGTCTATACTTATACTGTTAGTGCGTCAAACCGACTTTAGGATGCGTTGGTTGAAAAGGAGTTAACAACGCTTGATGGTAAAGCATTCCATGCGTTGACTACGCGATTTGTGAAGAACTTTTCTCTTTCGACCCAGTTCTTGACTATTGGCTTAGCAAGTCTTAGGCTATTGCCACGAAGGTTATACTGGGAAAGCGTTTGCGCGTAAACTTGAGGCACAACAAATTCAATTTTCTCAACACCATGCGCAATCTTAAATTGCTGAATAAAATCATTTCTAACTCGTCTATTTTTTATTTTAATTCACCTCCTCAAGGCCGAGAAGTTCACTACAGACGAGGAGGCTACTTATTTGTGGCTATAACCCTCTCTCAACTCTATAACTCCGAAACACGAACCTTGACAAACAAGGCCGCTGCGCGGAAAAAAGAGTTGAGCGCGGTACTACCAGGGACGTGGTGGGGATCGAACTCGGAACCACTCGTTTATGAAGCGAGCGCTCTACCACTACACCACTACCGCTTACGCCTGTTGATTCTTTGAGTCCTACAATGACCACATTTGACTTTTTCTCCTTTCTTGTTTTTATTTCGGCTGCTGCTAAGATTTGGTTCTTTTTCGTCATGTCAAGGTAGAATGGTCTTATTTGTTGTTATTGAACTCGCTGTTTGAGGTCTGTTTGCCAAAGCGTCGATTTGCTCACGTAAGGTTTTGATGCTGTTGTCATGCTGTTGCTTCATTTTAATTACGACTATTCTCAATGCAGCTTTGATCATACTGGCTGTTTTGATCCTGTAGAGTTTGTCAAACGTATCTGTTGTAATTGTTCCAAGTTTAATTGCTGTGTCGGTAGCGTTGTTTATGGTCGTTTCTAAGGATTATTTTTCAATGTTTCTCATCGTCATATGATCCAATAGTTTTCAAGTTATTCAAAATGGTACTTGATGAGAGGGTAGATTAGCTCTTAAAACTTTTTTGAGAAAACCCACCTCCTAAATGTGTTCTATCCAATACAAAAACACTAGGTTTACATTTTTTTTGAATAAAAAATATTTTAGGAGGTCCCCCACGACCTTTGAATATTTAATAGGTAATTAATATTTTCAAAATAAAAGCTATTCAAAAATGTCAACCTGGTACTCAAATGAAACAAAATTATATAAAAATTTTAAAATATTCATTTCGAAAAAATTTTAACTTAACAAAATCATCATAAAAAAACATAAAAAATGCTTTTTTCTACTTTTTTGTTAAAAAACGCAATTTTTTATGTAATAAAACCAACAATAACAATTTTTTTTTCAAAATGAATATTATTTTTGAAATTTTTATGTAATTTTGCTTAATTTGAGTACTAGGTTGACATATTTTTTTAAAAACTTTTATTTTAAAAATATTAGGAACCCATTAAATATTCGAGGGTCTTGAGGGACCCCTTAAAATATTTTTATTCAAAAAAAATTTAAACCTAGTGTTTTTGTATTAGATAAAAACATATTTAGGGGGTGGGAGCAAATTATTTTCAAAAATGTTGTTTTTTGGAACACGCAACAAAGGGCTATCACTTTAAAAAGTGGATTACCTCTTGGTCGAGAATTTTTTGAACTTTTAACCTATATCTTATTACACAGGGACTAAAAAGTTTTAGTATGTGTTTTTTTCTGTCAAATGACACTGAGTTATCAAATTTTTGGAAATTAAAGAAAGCTAATTTTAATCCTATAGTTAAATGGAAAATAATTAAACAGTCCAATGTTTATAAACCTACGAAAAGGTTTTGTAATTTATGCTTAAATGAGAAATATGAAATTCTATTCTCTAGAAATCCAAACTTATTAAATAAAAGAAGTGAAATAATATCTAAGTGCAGGCATAGAAACAAATTCCTTCTGGGAAATTTCGATACCGGTGATCAATCCAGTTTCTAAGTTACTTTTTGTTTTGTTTTGACGTCAGAACCCATTCTATTGTTGCTTTTGTATTTTGTATTTTTAATGGGTTTTCTTGATTAATATATATATTATATATATATATATATATATATATATATATATATATATATATATATATATATATATATATATATACATATATATATATACATATATATATATACATATATGTATATATATATATATATATATATATATATATATATATATATATATATATATATATATATATATATATATATATATATATATATATATATATATATATATATATATATATATATATATATATATATATATATATATATATATATATGGCTGATGAATCAATCAATCAATATATTTTATATATATGAATTACTTGATTTTACAATTCAAGAATGTTTACAAATAGTAATTACTAATGATGCGTAAACACCTAATAATAAAGATGTTAATAATAAATAATAACAACTCTAAAAATCATGATGTTAAAAATATATATATATATATATATATATATATATATATATATATATATATATATATATATATATATATATATATATATATGCACTTTAAAAATTTATTTAGTTAAACTAATTTTTAAATTAAAAAACAAAACAATTTTTCTATACAAAATTAAGCAGACAGACAACATGGCCTTCATAACTTTTGCCATAACTTTAGAGATTATGTTAATCAGTGTTATAAAGTTAAATTAAATTAGGTAAATTCAGGTAATCAGGCTATTGAATTACATCAAAGACAACTAAATCTTTGCTTAGTTAAATAAAAAATAAAAAAATAAAAAAATGTTGGTTTAGTGACTTCATAAGAATAAACAGAACTAATAATGCTATGTTTTGTATTTCAGGAAGTGATCTATGATCACCAATATTGGTGTTTCTTATTTTGTAAAAAAACTGAGAGCAGATTTACCGAAGAAACACCTGTAGAACCAACAGAAGTTTTTTTGTTTATGAAGAATTATTAACAAAAAGAAAAAAAAAAATTTATAGTTTAAGTCTAACATGTGCCAGTTACTAAAAAAATTGCAAGTAACTGATACTGTTGAAAAAAACAAAGACAGATAAACTGAGATCAACTACTTTTGTTCAAATCTGAACAATTGATCTAATGCCAAAAATGGAAATGATCCAAAAAGAGTGATACAAACAAATTAGTGAAAACTCCTTAAAAAATTCAAAAACTGCTAAAAAATCATCTTTGAGCAAGGGATGAAACAAACCAATGATACAGAGAGCAAGGGATGAAACTTTTTTATCTGATAATATTAAAATAACTCTATAGATATTTTAAGGCGGTATTTTTATGAAGTAATTAACGTTTATTTTAACGATATTTTAATGAAGAAGTTATCGCTTTAAAAACTGTACACCATTGCACAGTGGAGTACTTGTTCAACAAAACCTCTAAAAAGATTAATTTTATGCTAGATAAGTGCTTCATTAGATTACGTAATAAAAAATTCCCTTTACTCTTTTCTTTTGCCCAGAACGTGGTGTTGAAGACTGAATTTTTATGAGAAAAAAAAGTTTGAAAATTTGTGACATTCAAGGTATTGTTATCATATTGTTCAGTTTTGAAAAATTAAATTTCTAATTATGACAGAGGAATGTATGCACTATATTTTTAAGCATAATTGTATCATATTTCTGTTGTTACTGTGCATAACATAAAACGTTTTTATGAAGGTGTGTTAAAGTTTTAATTTTAACATAAAACTATAATGGTTTTGTTATCAAATATGTTCTTGATGAGTTATAAATCTTTTACAAGCAATAGCTATAGGCTGTTAAAAATCAGCTACTTTTGTAAAATTATCTGCCAACGCCCACCATTTTTCCTTTTAACACTTCGAAAATAGTGTGCAAACCTTTGTGTAATACAATCTTGTAGTCTTGAAACAGCTATTAAATAAATACTTGTTGTCCAATTTTCAAACATTTTTGTACATAACTTAACCAAACTACGTAAATAAATCTTAAAAAGATATTATATTAAATTATAAAATTTAAACAAATAAAAAGAATTTATTTGTAGATCATTTACGACAACATCAACCAATTTTGTATTTATTGGTATATTATTCTTAGGGATTCGTCTGTAATCAACAAGGTGTTTATATGAAGAGAGTTATATGAAATGATAAAAGATTTTTCATCATTTTATATTACTCATACAAAAAAGTTTTTGCTTTTGGAAGAATAACTTATCAAGGATATGAAATATCCAGAAGATCAAAAAAGTCCCATAACAAGCATTTCAAAGATTTTTAAGAGCGATTTTAAGAAAACATGGACAGTTGCAAGTCATTAACGCAAAAGATTCATAAAAAATAATGAACAATGGCTCAAATCAACATTGAACTACCTTATTGGTCAGTAAATGTTTGACAGAAATCCGGACAATCATCAAAATCATTTATAAAGCTTAGTGATTGCAGTAAATTTAAAAAACTAAGGACCTTCGCAAGCAGGCATCTGTTGATGATGTATGCAGCCAGTGTGAGTCAGCACACTTCTTTTAATGCTGATCTTGCAAAAATGATTAAGGAAATTACCATCATGCCAGAGTAAAGATTTAACAAAAAGTATTTAATTCTGCTTTAAAAAAGTAACAATCAAGAAATTAACACCTCAAGAGGCACTGGTACTATAGAAAGCGATATTACCAGAAAACAGTGGGAACTTATTCAAAGCAAAGACAGAAATGTCTATCCTTGCTACTCTTTTGTACAACAAGCTAAAAAAAAATATTTCTTGATAAAGAATTAACAAAAGTAACCAAAACGCACATCTACATCAATGGTAGATAGTAAGGTGTGAAAATAAGAAAATACAAACATCCTCCAATAAAGAATTAAGGCTTCTATTAAATATACCTAAAGCAGGGTTCGGGAATACCAATGATGGCAATATGTCAAGAAGATTTTTTTCACAACCATAAAATACAAGTGTTAATAACGCATTTTACATAAAATAGCTGGTAAAAAAATTAACTGTAACTCCATTATTCTTGTAATAGTTAAAGTTTTTAGTTTTTATTGTTGTAACAATGAAAGTTTTTAGTTTATTACTTGCTTATTTTTTAAAAATAAAATATAATTTTTTTATTTATTATTTGCAAAACTGTTAATATGTATTCAAGAAATAAAGCAAAATCTTTTTTATTCATTTAGTTATAAACAAACATTTATGTGTTAGATCTCAAAAAATTAAATAATTTTATATTCAAAAAAATCAGAAGCTAAGTAAACATTTGAAGAACATTTGATATCATTACATAATAAAAAGAATTTTATGATGTCAAAAATTCCGTAAAAAAATTTTGTAATTTGAATGCGTTAAGCATTTTTTGTTCATCACAAGGCCTTGTGTAGTGATAAAACGCTTGCTTTGCAAGAAAGAAATACGAAAATACGTTTAAACCTACCACTTCCCTGAAAGCTACTGCTTAACTTGATTCTCTACGCTTTGGGTATAACAACAGAAATTATTGGTTATATATATATTATAATTATTGGGTATATATATATTGGGTACAACAACAAAAACAAAAAACAGATTTGAGGTATAACAACAGAAAAAAATAATTAGTAACTTCCTTGATAATAGTGGCCTTAGGGTCTCTAGGACTTAAGAAACGAAAAAAAAAATTAAAAAGCTTTTCCATGTAAATGAATAAGAATATTAAATTTATAAAAACTTACGGTCCGCCATCTCCACCTTTTCGTTTGGCAATGAGCTAAAAATAAAAAATCATAAGTATTTAAAATAAATTTTTAACAATATTGATTAAACAATTATTATTATTTTTAACAAGTTTCTAACTTGTTAAAAATAATAATAAAAAAAGCATTTTTACTTTCTTTATAACTATACTTATCTGAGATATAATAATAAACTCCTAAGTCAGAAAGTATTTTGCATAACTAATGAAGAATTTCCTAATAAGCAACTACACTGACCTTAGAGTATTTTTGCAACTTTTTATTTAACATAGATGAGTTTTTGAATTTGTGAAAACCCTGGAAATTATTTTCTATGAAAATCCCGGAAAATCCAGGAACATTGTTATTTAACTGTTTTGCATTATTCATGTGAGGCAATCTTTTTTTTTGGAATTAAATTTTTTTTAAATAGCGTTTGCTTGCAGTTTGCAAATGACCACAGATGTTTTTGCTAATCGGTTCATGTAATATATCTCATCTTTTAAAGTACCCTAGTGCTGTGGTCTTGTTTGATAAGTAACTGAAGCTTTAGCTGAGTACGTTGAAGTATCAAGACAATTTATCTTTTGTTAACTATGGTGTTCATCATGCTGAATGATTACTCAATGTGAGGACTACTGAATATACTTAGACATACCTTGAAAACTTTATTAAGCTCTAAATATTTTTTACACTTGAAAATATTTGTCCACCAATAAAGTGGAACGACCGAACTGCAAATGGTGTTACTTGCAATTTAATGATAGACGGCTATGGCTTACCTTCTTGTCATGTCTACCGTTAACAATGATTATTATTAAATTTGAATTAAAAATAAAATAAAAATTAAAAAATTGTTATGGAAATTGATATTGTGAAAATTTCAATTATAGAAAACATATTTGTTTAAATACAAACGTTGTCGTATTTAAAATTTTATATAATATTTTTCAAACTAAACTTTCAAAAATATTTAACAAAAACCATCCAAAAATTTCTGGAAAATTGAAGTTTTAAAAGAATTTCTGGAATTCCGGAAATTCTCGGAAAAAAACTCATCTATGATTTAAGCAACCATATACACTTTTTCATAACTAAAATACTTACACTGCTGATCTGTTGCCATTCTCTATCCAACTTTTGCTTTTCAGTTTGTTTACCAGGTCGCGTCCTTGTCTTACGTCCTTCGTGCATTTTAATTCCAAACTGAAAAGCAGCCCTAAGCAGGAAGAAAATCAGCTTTTAGAAAATTTTTTCATTTTGATTTGTTAAACCTAATATTAAGTGCAATTATTTTTACTTAGGCATTGCAACTCTGTTTTCCATATATTTATTGTAATCGTCGTCATTTTCAAAATCCCAGCGTTTTACAGGTCCTTTTTTGTTACCCTGAATATATTATATATATATATATATATATATATATATATATATATATATATATATGATATATATATAACATATATATAATATATATATATAACATATATATAATATATATATATAACATATATATAATATATATATAACATATATATATATATATATATATATATATATATATATATATATATATATATATATATATATATATATCATATATATATATATATATATATATATATATATATATATATATATATATACATATATATATATATATACATATATGATATATATATATATAACATATATATAATATATATATAATATATATATATATATAACATATATATAATATATATATAATATATATATATAACATATATATATATATATATATATATATATATATATATATATATATATATATATATATATATATATATATATATATATATATATATATATATATATATATATATATATATAATAAATTGTTGCAGAAATAAAAAAAAGACCATATCCATTTTGGAATAATCTGCATCATCATCACTATCATCAACTGCATCTGCCATCTCTGCAGCCCTAAAAAAGCACATTGCTGTGAATTTTAATAATTTTTTATTTAGTATAATAAACTTTTAACAACATAATTTTATTAAGTTACTTTTGTAAACAAATATACAAACACACACATGGAGAACTTACATAAACACACAGAAAAACACACATAAATAACAGCAAGATAAAAAAATTATTACATTAAGTTACAGAACATAATAATTTAACATAGTACAGAAAAAAAAGTAGAATCATAATAGCTGCTTTAGTTTATGTATCAAAATATGGTAAAGAGATTGTAAGAACAATATTAGAATCAGATTTCATTTTTACTTGTTGGTCCTTTCTTTTTTTTTTTTTTTTTTTTAAATAAATAAGGCTAATTAGATTTTTCAGATTCTAAATTATTGAGATGAAGATTTATCTATGTTTTAATGATTTAGAAAAATCTTCTATGAAACTGCATTCTTCAGATTCTAGATTATATAAAAGTAAAAAAAAAGATAACCGATAAAAAAAAAATACTTTTTTAGAATTGTTACTTATTACGCTCAAGATTTTCAAACATTTGGTACCAGGGTTTTTTTTCAAACATTTGGTACCAGGGTTATTTATTTTAATAAAAAGAAAATTGTAAAATGAAAAGTACCAATTAATTGAAAGAGAAAAGTTTAAGCCATCTAATCAAAGAGCAATAAAAGTTAATAAAAAAATTAAGTACACAGACATAAAATGGCAAAAAAGTTAAAATGTCATAAAGTTAAAATGTCATAACGTTTCTTTCAAGCCAAGTCATTATCATAAGTCTCATTTCACAGCATGTTTTACTATTACTCAAAGAAATCTACTAAAATGTAACTTCAAGTATTTTTTTCTTAAAACACATACCCAGGATAGCACTCTGCATAGCTATCCGTTACTTCATCCTTACGCTTTGGTCTAAAAAATGTGATAGTAAAAATAATTATAAATGAGAATAATGATAAAAAATCTAAAAGAAAAAAAAAAAAAAGAAAAAAAACTACTTTTTTTTGTCTCTATGGTGATCAATTGCAGATGGTTCATTTATTGAAGCAGACTATATACAAACAAACATATTATTTTGACTGTTACAGTATATAAATATCTATGTACATGCGCATATATCTATATAATACTTAGTATATACATACCTATGTACATGTGCATATATCAATATAATATTAGACACTAGATAATCGGTCTCGAGTCTTGATTTATCATCTGGTATTGGTGCGATACCAAACAGTATCGGTATCAAAATCTCGTGATACTAGTATCAAAAATATCGTTAATATTGGTATCATTTGGTCTCGATGCAATACTTTACAGTATCAACATCGAGATCACGTGATACTGGTATCAAAAGTATCGGTTATGTTGGTATTGTTTGGTCTCGATGCAATACCTTACAGTATCAAAATCGAGATCACGCATACTAGTATCAAAAGTTATCGCTTATGTTGGTATTGTTTTGTACAGTATAAAGGATGAGAAAATTTTTTCAATTTTTTCTATCGTGATTTAAAGGAAGAAAAAGATTTTGTTTAACATTTATTTCTATATTAAATTATTACAAATAATTAAATTATGTTAAACAGTGTGTAAGGGGCAGACAAAAAGGAAAGAGGGTACTAACCTCCCCCCCCCCTACCTGGGAAAAAAACTTCAAAATATTTTTGATAAAATTAAAAAAATATAAAAAATTGTAATTCAACATTTTATTATTTTTTCTTCAAAAAAAAGTATTTATATAAACATTCAATATATTTATTAGCAAACTATTTTATAACTTTTCTAAAATCATTCTATATGATCAAATGAAACAGTTGTTTTATTTAAAAAAAAAAAACGTAAATCTTAGTTTTTGTATTTTTTTTTTGGTTGGACTGCCCCCCTAGAACAATGACCTGGATCCGTCCCTGCTGTGTTCAGTTTCTCTTATCGTTATTCCGACTCTGTTGAATTTTTATTCCATTCAGGCAAAAATTTGTGCGGAATTAATTGGAATTAAAATTAATTAAAGGGAATAGTTTTGCAATCATTAAAGAGAGTTTTTCATATAATTCTAAGGGAATTGCTTGTGATGCAATCTTAAACGATTATTCTAAACGAGTATTAGAAATGATTGTTGATAATTGATAAATGATAGCTCAGATGGTTAGAGCATTAAAGGAAAAGTTAAAACCCGGACTGTTGAACGATACGAGTTCAAATCCTGCCACCGCCAACTCAGCGCTTGAGTAGTACTTCGGTACGCAAAAATGTTGGTCAATAACGGACGCTACTTTGGATTAGTCTTAATGACTATTTGTGGCTGTTCCTGTGCTAAGCCAACAATATCTTTGGATATATGAACATTGTATAGAAAAATATAGCATGAAAACTCAAATAAATAAAAATAAATAAATATAATTAAATGTAACAATCATTAAAGAATTGAAACTATCATTAAAGAGAGTTTTTGTACAATTCTCCATAGAAAAATTCTTGAGATGCAATCGTTAATGATTATTCTAAAAGAGTATGAGAAATGATTGTTCAAAGGGAATTGATTTTGTAACAGTCATTACAGTTATTCAAATTTAATTAATTGTGTGATATCGCATCCATATTTTATTTTTTTATCTGGTATCGTTACTTTTGTTAAATCTCTCATTGTATCATAATTTTCGCCTGGTCTTTCGTTCTGCATTCAACATTTAACAACTAAACTTTAGTGTTAAACAATTAAACATAAGTATACTTTAGTTATTAAAAAAAACTAATCTTCACAATGCTGGGAAATAATCCTGAGATTCATTACAGGCAGAATTAGTTTTATATATAACAACTTAACTCTATATCGTAGAAGTTTGCGTGGCCTAACAGATAAAGTTATGGCTAGTGAGTCCGGAGATCTAGGTTCAAACTTTTCTGAAGGGCTTAATTTTTTTAGTTTCTGTTAATTAAAATTGCAGTTTATTTTTTTAGTTTTTACGTTACAACTATTATTGTTTATTAACTATTACGATTTTAAAAAATTTAATTTATTTGGTGGAGCAATAGTTCATAAATCGACTGATTTTTAGGGAGAATTTATATATCGCTCAAAGCACGGTGTGCTAAATTGATCGCCAGGTTGTATGTCTGCCCACTCTGAATTTTTTTGTTTCATATATAGATACCTACTAACTAAATGTAAAAAACAAAAAAATTAAATTTACGCCAATCAAAGGGTCTTTTTTTGGTAATTATATTTTTGAAATTATTTAACTCATTTGACATTGTTTAGATGTAAAATTTACAGTAAATGCCCCCAAAATTATTAAAATATTAATAGAAGAAAATCCTAAAAGTACAGCAAAGGAAAAAACAACAAATAGACAATGTTAAAGTATTGTAGATTGTTAAAAAACAATAACTAAATCTCTAAAAAGCAATTGTACTTTTGATTTGTTAATAAAAAATTCAATAACTCACATTTTAATTTTTTTTTGTTTTGTTTTATTTAGTCTCGATTCGAGACCATGCAATACTATAAGATTCTTTTAATTATTGCTATTGTATGGTATCGAAGCGATACTGATAGTAACGACATTGGTACATAAGTGATATCACACAATACGATACCATCCTTCTCAGATTGAATACTATCGAACCGATACTGATAGTATAGACATTGGTACATAAGCGATACCAAGCAATACAAGACCATTCTTCTCTGTATTAACTTAAATGATACCGATTATCTAGTGTCTAGTATCTATATGTATTTATTAATTTATTTTATCTAAATCTAATGAAATGTTTAACTTTTTTATTTATATTTTTTGTTAATGATTGATTAAACCACAACTTCTTATATACTTTTAAAAAAAAAGTTTCATTTTTTTATTAAAATGTCATTATGAAATAAAGGACATAAAATTAGAGAATAAAATATGTTGAAGCACAAACCAAAACCATTTTAAACTAACCAAAACACCATTAGATAATTTCATACATACATACATACATACATACATACACACATACATACATACATACATACATACATACATACATACATACATACATACATATATATATATATATATATATATATATTT